GATTCTCTCTCATCGATGTTTCCAGCTCTCTATCCCTCTCTCTTCCTCTCTGTAAAAAATCAATAAAATATATTTTTTTTTTAAAAAGAAAAAAGAAAAGAAAGACTGTGTAGCTCAGGAGTAGGGATGGTGGGGGGATGCAGGCTCCGGGCTGGGTGGCCAGCTGCCATGTGATATGGCAGCGGGTGGCATGCTCAGCTGGCCAGGGGCTGGGAAGGAATGATGACGTTGTCCTGCTCATTCTTTGGAGAACACGGCCACGGTTCCAGGAACAGAACTCTGGGCCTGAATTTATGGCCCTGGCTTCGAATCCCCTGTCTGGCTGCTTGACCTCGAGCAAGTCACTTCCCCGCTGCACAGGAGATGGGGAGGGGGAGGCGGCCTGATGAATGGTCCCGGGGAGCACCCTCGCTTGGAAGCTTGCGGTTCTCAGCCTCACTGAGCCACTGCGCCGGGCCAGAGGCACGTTTCCTCAAGCTTCCCAACGACCGTGCAGGAGGCACAGGTGCAGAGACTGAGGTTCGCAGGGCTTAGGGCCTTCATTCCGGGTTCTGGAGTTGGGTCGGGCCACACAGAGGAACTGCTGAAGGTCAGACCTCAGCTCTGACACCCACAACCTGATTCTGACCCAGATGGGCCTCTGGTTACCGACTCCTGTCAAGCAGATGTTCAAGAGGCATATCTGCAAACAGAATCGAGTCCCTCGCTGAAAAACGGGGCGGGGTGAGGGGGGGGGGATAATAAAATCCACTTCCTAGGGTCACTCAGTGAGGTCATGCATGGGGATTGCTCGGATCCACACCAGGCACTGAATAGGTGTTCAGAAAAGTCGCATTTTCAAACGGATCGTCACTGCCTTCCAGACTTGTAGAGAGTCAGCCAGGCTGCTTTCCAAAGGCCCCTTTCCCTTTTCTGTCGCTGTCTCGCTGCTTTTCATTCCTGTCTCTGTTTCTCTTTGTTTCTTCTGGCGGCGAAGTGCTGGAGCCCGCGAGTGCTGGCTCTGGGGAGCTGATTCTGCGAATCTCTTTCCAGCCCAGCGTTCAGGAAGTCACTTCAGTAACCTGCAATCAGCCATGGTGGGAATATTTACACCATGGAAATCAGCAAATGCTACAAATCAGGGCTTTTCTTCTTCTTTTTTTATTTTCCTCCCTTTCAGAGTCAGTGTACCAGCACCTCACACTGGGCTTCTCTCTGTCTCTGTCTGCATTTATGTCTTTCTGTGTCTCCCAATCTCTGTCTCTACCTTTTCTTTTTTTCTTTCTCCCCATCCCCTCCTTCTGAGACAGCCTTGTGAGCGTGGTCACATTCAGCGGGGGCCCTCTCACCGCCTTGGGCCATGCTGGCGCCACACCCGGTGCCCCACACCCTCACCCCACATCCTCCAACCCCCTCCACATACTGGTGCTCAGAGGGTCAGGCTGAGCCCCGGGCCCTGGTCCCCTTTGGGTTAGAGTGCCAACCCCTGAGAGCTGGCCCTGCTGCCTTTGCCCATGGTGTCGGATCCGCCACGGCTCTTGCTCAGCCCACGGAGCCTCTGCCTCCTCCTCCGTGCTGACAGGTCCTGCTCCCTGCCCCATTCCAGACCTGCAGAATGTGGGCTCCCCTGAGGCTGATTTAAAATCATGGTGGTAACTATGTGGGGACCCAAGAGGTTGTATACGTTTGTGTCTTTGATATATTTTTGGAAGGAAGGGGGAAGGGTAGAAAAGAGAAAGGAGTGGGGAGGGTGGGAGAGGGAGAGGGAGGTAAATATCAATGTGAGAGAGCCACATCAATGGGTTGCCTCCCACATGGTTGGGGTGGAGAACTTGCAACCCAGGTACATGCCCTTGACAGGGAATCGAACCCATGACCCACTGGCCAGAGCTGTGTTTGTCTCTTTCCACAAGGGAGTTCTGTGTGGGTCTGACATCTGGAAGGGCTGTGTGTCCCTCTGGTGGCTCCATGCATCTGGGCATGCCTGTAGGAACGGCTGTCATTGTCCAGGTCTGTGGTCAGGCAATAGGAAAATGGGGCTCTGATTCTGGAGCCCAATGCCAGGATAAATCAACGGTGTGAGCCTGGGCAAGTTTCTGAGCCTCTGGGCCTCCGTTGCCTTATCAGTTATAATACTCACCTCATGAGGTTGTTGAAAGAATAACATGAGGCAATATATGTAAACTGTTGAATGCAGTGGCTGGCACATAGTACTGTGAATTCTACACATGTAATGCTTGTGGAGAGGCTGTGTGTGTGTGTGTGTGTGTGTGTGTAGATGGGTGAGGGTTGGAGGTATGTGTATATGGGGGTGTGGGTATGTATGTATCTGTGAGTGTGTGTGTGTGTGTGTGTGTGTGTGTGTGTGAATCTGCACAGAGGAGCTGAGTCTCTGCAGGAGGTGCCGTGTGCAGCTGAGGTAGTGTGTGTGTGTGTGTGTGTGTGTGTGTGTGTGTGTGTGAAAATGTGTCAGGAGAGGTGTGTGACTCTGGGTATCAGCCCTGGGTGCTGTCTGAGATAACTCGTGTCTTCCGGTGAAAAGGTCATCCTGTGACCTCTGTTTTCATCTTCCCCCATCTGTCCCCTCGGCGCCTGCAATCCCTGGATGCCCTCCCAGCTCCATTCCCTCCCTGGTCCCACCCAGCCCTGCAGAGTCCTGAGCCTTTCAGACACCACAGTCTCTCCCCAGGGGGAGGGTCCTGGGGTGCAGACCTCTGCAATGGCTTGGTGAGCAGGGGCTATTTTAGGTTTCTCACCACAGCCGCCTCACAGTTCCCCATGTGGGTGTCAGCCCCTCCACCTCCCCTTCCACAGGAGCACAGTTACAGTGAAGGGTGAGGGGGTGGTAGGACCGGGGTGGGGACCAGGGCACTGATGTGACAGAGTCATTGCCTGGGCAGCTGGACCTGGTGGATCCAGGAGGGCTTCCTGGAAGAGGTGAGTGTTGCGTGGTAGGAGGGGCAGGACCCATAAGGGGAACTGGGTTTGGGGGTTGAGAAAAGCCAAGTAGGGCCTCTCGGGCCCCTCTGGGGAAATCAGCATTCACTGTTGGCCCCACCCCGAAACTCTCCATTCCTCTCGCATCTTAGGAAACTGAGTGCTCCCCACAGCAGTTCCTCTCTGGGTGTCGCAATGCCCGAGTTTCTGTGGGGCGTGGGGAGCCTTGCTCAATGGCCTGCTAGCCTCTTGCTGGGGGACAGTTACCAGGAAAGACTGGGCACGCTGGTGGGCTCCCCGAGGGACCGTGGCCCTGGCTTCTGACGCGGTACTTCCTTGATGGGGGAGGGGGCTGGGAGCCGGCTCTGGAGGTAGGTGTCCACCTTTGCTCTGCCACCATCGTGGCCCGTAGCCACTGCGGGGTCAACCGCCCAGGCTGTGAGGAGAGGCAGCTTCCAGGGAAGGAGACGGTTTTTAGGAGCCAGTGACCGGCAGCCAGAGAAGGAGCTGGGCTCACGTGATGGAAATCCAATTAGAGGAATGGATCTAACACTACAGTATGTGTGCCCAAGTATCTGAGTCTGTTTACTTGAGAGGCAGCCTGTGTGTGTGTGTGTGTGTGTGTGTGTGTGTGTGTGTGTAAGGGTTAGCTTGAGTTGGTGTGTTGCAAGTGCATGCTCTGAGTGTGTGTGTGTGTGAGTGTTGCTGGTGTGTGTGTGTGTGTGTGTGTGTGTGTGTGTGTGTGTGACTGTGTGAGGTGGTATGTTGGTGTATCAGTGGATCTGAGTGTGAGAGTCAGTGTGGGTGGTGTGTCTGTGTGAGGGTGAATGTGTGGGTGTGCCAGGGGCAGCGGGAAGGAAAATGAAGGCGGAGGTCATGCGGGGGCAGAGCCAGGCCTTCTGGCTTCCTGCAGAGGCAGGAGCGAGCAGCTGGCTGGCAGGAACATTGGCAGAACCTTCATCTTCCACGTCCTTCTGTCTCCCTCAGGTCTCTGGCCCCTCCCAAGGACCATGCTGCAGCCCCACTGAGGAGGAGTAGGGGCCTGAGGGGTGAGTGCGGAGGGAGGGGACTGACGGCTCCGCATACTCAGGAGCCTTTCCCCAAGACTCATCCGCTTTGAGGGCTGGGAACCCGGGCAGGTTGGCCTTCCTGGGCCCCACAACTCCTCACAGACCCCTCCTCCTACAAGGGCCCTGTTGCTAGGTAACAGATGGGGGAGCCAGAATGAGGCAGCTTGAGAAGCCAGAGGCTGGACCTGAGACAGGAAATGGCCTTGATCCCCTCTGCAGGGAATCTCCAGGTGCAGGCACACAGCCCTCACACACACACTCACTCACAAGCACATATCCATGCTTAACATGCACATACACAGAGACACACACACATGCACACACCTACTTCCACAGAGCCGCACACACAGACAGGCACATATACTCCCACACAGGACTGTGCACACGGTAATGACACAGAGGCACCTACTCACACAGACCTGCATGCACAGGAACACACAGGCACACGGGCACACACTCACGCAAGAAATACATACATATGTGCACACTCACAAGGCAGAAGCACACACAGCCATACACAGAGAGGTACATGCACTGACATCCACAGACGTTCACAAAAGGCTGCGTACACAGACGCAAACCTGCACACACTCACAAATATTAACACTTCGAGGCACAAAAGACACAAGCAAGCGCTCTGAGGGAGTCACAGAAACACAAAATACTGAAGCAATAGGAGGCGAAAATATATAAATAAACACAGCAACATTTGGAAGCAGAAAAGCAGCCTCACTGAGGATACGCATTCTCTCCGCAAACACAGGAAGGCAGCTGGTCGTTAGATCCAGTGGCAGCCCTGCCCACCTCCATCCCTCACGACGGGGGAGCCCCTCCCTCCAGACCCGAGAGGGAAAGCTGCATGCTTGTGACAGAGTCATCGGCGAGGCAGCTGGACGTGGTGGTGTGCATGTGTGTGTGTACGTGAACACACGCATACGTGCACAGGTGCATTGGTGGCCTCACTGCAGGGGCCCCTGAGTGAGGCACGCCTCGTTTTTCAGCAGGGCACCTGGAATGGGCTGTGTGTTTTGCAAGGAGGTGGAGCCAGGGCCCAAGGAGGACGTTGGCCTGGAAGGGGACTTCAGGAGCTGCGGGGCTTCGGACCGCTATGGCCCGGACCCTACTCAGGCCCGGCCTATGTCTTCCTTGGGCCACATCCCCAACTACAACAACTTCTCCCAGCAGCCCAGCAGCCCCGCCTTCCTCGATGGGGGCACCATCAGGGCCATCACAGGTGAGCGCAGGAGCCGGAGGCGGGCACGGCCTAGACCCTGGAGAAGGGAAGGTGTGGACGTGGCCTTGGGAGCCTCCAGTCTGGCACGGGAATCGCAGCCCGGCTTTCGACGTGCACGCTGAGGAAACACGTGCAGCTCTACCCTCAGGGACCCCCGTCTGAGGGGGGAACACAGCTCTGTCCCAGTCTGAGAGAGGGACCCCTGCCACCCTGCAAAAGGGAAATCTTGGAGGGGTGGGGAAGAATTGGTGATCGCCTGGCGACTTCCCAGGTTGGGAGGGATGGGCTTGAAGGTGTGTGTGCTGAACCCAAGAGAGGAAGCCTGAACCGGGAATCCATGGGGCACCAGAGGCCTCTGGGACGCAGGCACAGCAGTGGGGAGGCACAGGCCTGGCTGGGGATCAGGACTCTAGGGATGCAGCCCCTTGGTGCCCTCCATCCTGTGCCCTGCCCTACTGAGTAGCCCTGCCTTTACAGGGCCCGGGGTGACCCTGTTCGTTGCTCTGTATGACTACGAGGCCCGGACGGAAGATGACCTCACCTTCAACAAGGGCGAGAAGTTCCACATCCTGAACAACACGTAAGTGACCAGGCCGCTCAGCGCAGGGCACGGCCTGGGCAGGGAGCAGAGGGACTCTGCCTGGCTCCTGTCCTCAGAAATCTCCAGCCTCGTTGGAGACACAGACGCATGGCAATAACAGCCCTGGGTGATTGCTGCTATGCGAGGGGACCCTGAGGAACCATGGGCACAGAAAGAATACCAAACACGGTCTCCATGGTGGTGGTGGTCAGGGCAGGCCTCACGGAGGAGGTGATTTCTAAGCCGAGACTAGAGAAATGAATAGACCTTGAAGGGAGAGGTGAGAAAAGAAGAAGAGGGAGAATGAGAATAAACAACGACTTCTGGAAACTACCAAGTGGGTTTGGCGTAGGTCTGTGGTCAGCAAACTGCGGCTCCTGAGCCACAGGAGGCTCTTGGGCCCCTTGAGGGTGGCTCCTCCACAAAATACCTCGGCCTGGGCGAGTCAATTTTGAAGAAGTGGCATTAGAAGAAGTTTAAGTTTTAAAAGATGTGGCTCTCCAAAGAAATTTCAATCGCTGTGCTGTTGATATTTGGCTCTGTGGACTAATGAGTTTGCCGACCACTGGTCCAGGTGGATCATAAAGTCTGAGGTGCTGAACAGAGAGCAGGGGCTAGAGGGGTGGGTGGGAGCATATATCCAAGGCTTCAAACACCCCGGGGAGGAGTCTGCATTTTATCCAGAAGGAAATGTGTGGCCACTGGGGGAGGACTCAGTGGGGAAGTGACCTAGTTAGCTGCCCCATTGCCTCAGCCTGGCGCTGGAGCCAGAGGAGAGAGTCAGAAGGCCCAGATGTTCCCAAACACATTCCTCCCGCAGGGAACAGCCTCCTGGGACAGCTGCCGTGGCCGGGGTCAGCACAGACAAAAGCCCGGGGTGGGGGGAGTCCAAGGCCAGGGGTTGGCAGGTCCAGTCTCCACCTGAGCCTTTGTGTGGCCCTGCCTGGCCCCAGGTTGCCGCTGACACCCCCTGTTCTGTGCTTGCAGTGAAGGTGACTGGTGGGAGGCTCGGTCCCTCAGCTCCGGACAAACCGGCTACATCCCCAGCAACTATGTGGCCCCCGTGGACTCCATCCAGGCTGAAGAGTGAGTAGGGGTTGAGAGGAGACCAGAATAGTATTCTGGAGGTCAAACTCTAGGTCATCTCTTGGGCAAGCCACAGCTACACACAATCTCCTTATCTATAATTCTGTAAGGTCACTGTGAGAATAAAAGATAATAATTATGATAATAACAGATGATACTTATGTAGCATGTACTATGTTCTGGGCACTATTCAAAGTGTTTTCTGTGTATTAATGGAGTTAGGAATTAATATTATTCTGTTTTACAAATGAGGAAACTAAGGCACAGGGAAGTTAAATATCCTGCCCCAAGCCCTAGCCTGTTTGGCTCAGTGAAAAGAGCATTGGCCTGGGGACCAAAGGGTCCCAAGTTTGATTCCAATCAGGGGCACGTATCTCAGTTGCAGGCTCTTCCTAGGCCCTGGTGAGGGCACGTGCAGGGAGCACCCAATAGATGTGTTTCTCTCACATCAATATTTCTCTCTCTCTCTTTCCCTCTCTCTTCCACTCTCCCTAAAAATCAATGGGAAAACATCCTCAGGTGAGGATTAACAACAACAACAAAATATCACATAGCTGGTACGTAGGTGGAGCTGGTGTTTGAACCCAGATCGTCTGGCTGCTTTCGCTGAGCATTTCTACATCTTGGCTCTCAGTGATGACAACAGTGCATGGGCTTTAAAAAAAATTGCAAACTGCTAAACAAATGCTTAGAATTGATTCTATTAAAGAGGGAGGGAATCATTCACAGAATACCTTTATATATTTGAGATACTATTATAGGTGCCTACCTTGATTGCCTCTCACACTGTTAATATTACTATTATCCCCATTTCACAAGTGAGGAAACTGAGGCTCATACTTAAAAGAAATCTGCACGCACATATGAAAAGGACAGATTAGGGAGACGGCAGAGGGAGAGTCAGCAGGACTTGGGGGCTGATTTGCCACTGGGATGTGGAGAGTGAGAGGAGTCAAGGATGGCCCAGGCTTCTTGAGACATTGGTGGGTGATGGTGCCATTTGCTGAAGGGGGAACGTAGGAGTGGGCCCGTGTCTAGGGTGGACTTGTTGGGTTAAGTTTCAAGGCTGGGAACACCCAGTGGAGGAGACCGCCAGCTAGTGGATTCGGTTGTACTTTGCATGAGAGGTGTCCAGCCCATGCCAAGCCAAGCCCCAAATTGGCCCAGAGCAAGGGGCATCTTCTAGTTGGCACTAGGCTCTTCCTTTGTTTGCTGTGGCTCTTGGCACACCTGGGGCTGGGGTGGAACTTGGGGACTCTTCAGAGTGAAGATGATAATTAAAGCTGAAGGAAGTGGGGCGAATGTGAGGACCCAACTTTGAAGAAAGCAGCCCTTGACAGGGAAGAAGCCGCTGGGAAACCAGGCCAGGCCATGTCAGAGCAGCCAGAGTGTGGAGGAGAGGTTTCGGGAAAACAAGAGAAATGAGTACCAGAAGCTTCCACTGGATTTGGCAATGGGTGTGACCTTTGTGAGACATCTCTGTGTGAAGTGGGGCAGAGGCCAGACTGCAGAGCCTGGGAGTAGGAAGTGAGGAAGTGGAGGCCCAAGTGTGAAGTGCTTTTTCAAGAGAAGAGAAGGTGAGAAGTGTAGCAGAATGTTGATGGCAAGATAGGGCTTAGAACAGTTTCCTCTGGGGAAGGAAGAAATGTAGGCATATGTAGAGGTTGGTGGGAAAGTGGGGTTCTGAGCAGAGGGGCATGGACAGGGCCCAGAGCTCATGCGGAGTGAGGCCTTCGTCTGTGAAGGTGGTAGGAGGCGTGGAGAAGAGGAGGGGTGATGATGCAGAAGATGAGCGGTTCATGGGGTTCATGCCTGCGTCCACATCTCGGGGGCAGAGGCCCTCCGTGCAGGGTCGCTGCGAAGACAGCGCGGTGGTTAAGAGTGCAGGCCCCAGAGCGGACGGCTCTGGTTCCTATTCTGGAAACACAGCTTTTAGAGCCTGTGGCTTTGGTCAGGTTGCTTAGCCACAAGGTATCTCAATTTCCACATCTGTCTAATGGGAGTTAATAATAGCACTTCGTTCACCACCTTGCTATAAGAATTAAATGAATGCATGTATGTATGGAAGCAGAGCCTGACACAAAATAAGCGCTGTTGTTCTTACATTAATTATTAAGGAATAGCTAATGTCATGGGTATGGGTGGGGGCGGGGCTCTCAAAACACTTGGAAGTGTGTCTGGTCTACACAGTCCCTCTACAGCTCTTCCTTCTCCTTCCTGCCTACCCTCTTGGACATTTCCTTGGCCAATGGCTTCCCCCGATCCCCAAAATGTGCCCAGAACCCAGGTGTGGGGTGACAATTTTAGAGTTCCCAGAGTCTGCCACCTACCTTGATTTGAAAACGATGCTCCTTTTAATTGAGCCCAAGATGGTCACGGGCCAATTTTGTGACCGAATAACATCTTATTCTTCCATGGCACCTGAGGTCATTTCATCTCCCCAGTATACCTTCATAGTTGGTTTGAAGCTACAATTCAGTCCCCGAAGAATATCCAAGAGAGAGCAGCCATGCTCAAGGTCTAACGTTGAAGTTGAGACTTAGAACAATATCCAAATGTAAGCGAGTGGAGGGAAAGCGGCCGTCAGAACCAGGCAGGAGCAGTCAGAAAGAAGGGGAGGGAAGAGGAAAGAGTGTCGTTCTGGAAGCCAGAGGAGGAAGGGGATTTCCGGTGGGTGTGGGTGGGTGTGGGGTGGGTGTGGGGAGAGGGAGCTGAGCGGTTGCCGGTTGCCGGGGTGGTGTGAAAAGAACGAGGGTGGGCTGCAAAAGGTTTCACATACAGCTCATTGCAGGAGGTGACATTTCACATACGGCCTCGCAGGAGGTGACGGCGCCTCCCCCAGCCTCAGGTTCCTCACCTGTAAAAGGAACTTCTAGAGGAGCAGTAATGAGACGGGCTAATGGGCTGGTGGCACCCTGATGAGGCCGCTAGTGACTGGGCTTCCAGCAGTTTTAATTCTAGAGAAGCCCAGAGAGTGGAGAGGAGAAGCCCAGCCGTTAGTGGGCACCTACTGTGTGCCAAGCCTCACACAGTAGGTGCCCACTAACAGCGAGGCTTTTCTGGGACCCCCTGGCCCAGGCTGTGCAGCAGGTGGGTCTGCCCCTCTCAGGGATGGGGTGAGGACACTGCAGCGTGGCTTGTGAGGTGGCTTTTCCCAGGAGGCTGACTGAGGGTTGAACAGGTGTGTCGCTGACTCTTGCCGGCCCTTCCCCACAGGTGGTACTTTGGAAAGATGGGAAGGAAGGATTCTGAGAGGCAGCTGCTCTCCGCTGGCAACCCCCGGGGAGCGTTTCTCATTCGGGAGAGTGAGACAACCAAAGGTGGGGCCGTGCGATGGCTGGCCCTGGACCGGGACAGCCTGGCCAGCGGGGTGGGCTAGGAGCGTTGGTGGGGCTAAAAGCAAGGGGGTGGGGTAGGAGGGTGGGTGAGGCTAGGAGTGGGGGGGAGGGGCTTGGGTCCGGGCCAAGACTGGGACTGGGTTCAAGGGATGTGTGGCCTTCCAACTGGAGTCCCCAGGCTTGTGGGCCTCTTCCTGCTTCCAGACTGGGGCAGGCCAGAAGGTGTTCCTTCCCAACAGGTGCCTTCTCTCTGTCCATCCGGGACTGGGACCAGGCCAGAGGCGATCACGTGAAGCATTACAAGATCCGCAAGCTGGACACCGGTGGCTACTACATCACGGCGAGGGCCCAGTTTGAGTCGGTGCAGGAGCTGGTGCAGCACTACATGGGTGAGGCGGGCCCGTGGGGCTGCCCGGGCTGCAGACCCCTGCCCCAGCCACGAGGCCGAGGCCCAGAGGAGGGTCTCCAAGCGGGAGCGGGAGGTCAGGGCTAGAACCCAATCCAGGCTCTCACCCAGCAGACGGCTCTGCGGGATTCCAGAGGACACAGGCTGAGGCCGCTCCTACCAGAGCAAGGGGGTGCCCCAGGGCCTGAGCCGGGGAGGAGGCAGAATAACACTGACTTGGAGGATGCCTGCAGGGCGAAGGGGAAGGGGGCATCATGCCCAGATTTCTGCTTTGGTTGATTAGGGAGGGGACGAGGGCCACGTCCACACCTTTGAGTGGAATTGTCCACTCCATTTCCACCCGGCAGAGTCCCGCCTTCCTCTTGGAGCCCAGCTGGAGGCCACCTGCCAGGGGTACCCCGATCCTTACAGGGGTCACCTCACCCTCTTGGTGCTGGCTCCTTCTCTGGGCACCAACATGTCCACCGGCTCAGTGGGCCGCGTCGCCTTCTGCCCTGGCCTGGGACCTCACCTGTGGCCTAGCTCCTTCTAACTGGTCTGGGGGACTGAGCTGGGCTGAGGACTGTGGGCCGTTCCAGCCCTTCGGTGACCCCCGACCCCCGCTCCCCAGAGGTGAACGACGGGCTGTGCCACCTGCTCACCGCGGCCTGCACGACCATGCGGCCGCAGACGCTGGGCCTGGCCAAGGACGCCTGGGAGATCAGCCGCAGCTCCATCTCGCTGGAGCGCCGGCTGGGCACCGGCTGCTTCGGGGACGTGTGGCTGGGTACGGGGTCCGGGGGTCCGGGGCCGGGCGAGGGCGGGCGCGGAGCCGGCCTGGCGGTCCTGACTAGCCCCGGCGCCGCAGGCACGTGGAACGGCAGCACGAAGGTGGCGGTGAAGACGCTGAAGCCGGGCACCATGTCCCCCAAGGCCTTCCTGGAGGAGGCGCAGGTCATGAAGCTGCTGCGGCACGACAAGCTGGTGCAGCTGTACGCCGTGGTGTCCGAGGAGCCCATCTACATCGTGACCGAGTTCATGTGCAACGGTGAGCGCGGTCCGGGCGGGGCCGGGGCGGGGCCGGGCAGGGTTTGGGGTGAAGTTAAGGTGAGTGTCTGGGAGGGGTACTTGGGTAGCGATCTGGGATGGGAGGATGGACCAGGGGGAGAGTCCCAGAGCAGGCACTGAGAAGTGAAGCCACGTGACTGCTGGGGTGGGGTGGGGCCCGTCAGACAGGTGGGGTCTGGGAGTGGGGGCGGGGCCAAGTAGACAGGTGGGGTCTGGGAGTGGGGCGGGGCCAGCTGGACCAGGTGGGGGCGGGACTGAGGGCGGGGCCAGGCCAGACCAGGCGGGGTCTGGGAGTGGGGCGGGGCCAGGTAGACAGGTGGGGGCGGGACTGGGGGCGGGGTCAGGCTGGACCAGGTGGGGTCTGGGAGTGGGGGCGGGGCCAGGCTGGACCAGGTGGGGGCGGGACTGGGGGCGGGGCCAGGTAGACAGGTGGGGGCGGGACTGGGGGCGGGGTCAGGCCGGACCAGGTGGGGTCTGGGAGTGGGGGCGGGGTCAGGCTGGACCAGGTGGGGTTGGGAGCCGCCGGAGCCTCTGGTGTGAGGATTTGGTCAGCTGGTGGGTGGGTTTGGGGCCAGGGAAGGCGGGATCGCGATGAGGTAGGGTCTGGGACGGAGTCTGAGAGTGGCATGTCTAGGGGTGACGTAGGAAGAGAAGAGAGATGTGGGCAGAGTCAAGCTATCTGTGGAGGGGACCCGGTGAGATGTGTGAGGGGTTGAGGGGCCTGGAGGGATCTTGAATGGGGGCCGGTCTACACGAGTGGGCTGGGCGGAGGGGATGGAGCTGTAGGCTAGGAGATGGGTTCTGGACAGGGGTGGGGCCGAGGGAGAAAGGCTGGCCTGGAGCAGGCGGTAGGGTCTTGCTGCTGATTTTCTGCGTTCCTCTCCCCAGGTAGCTTGCTGGAGTTCCTCAAGGACCGGGAAGGCCATGATTTGACGCTGCCCCAGTTAGTGGACATGGCAGCCCAGGTAAACTGGGACAGCAGCCTTCATTCCCAGAACCCCCTCCTACTAACCTTCCACAGATCCTGTGCCCATAGCCTCCCCTGGACATGCAGCCCCACCCACCACATCAGCTGTGCCAACTGAGGCAGAGTGCCGAATGCCCCCCGAGCCAGTGCCTTGCGAAGTTGGTTTTCCTGATGGTCCCTCACACAGCCATGGTGTTCCCATCTCTCCACCCCTCGGCTCCCAGGTGGCGGAGGGCATGGCCTACATGGAGCGCATGAACTACATCCACCGGGACCTGCGGGCGGCTAACATCCTCGTCGGGGAGCGGCTGGTGTGCAAGATCGCGGACTTCGGGCTGGCCCGGCTCATCGAGGATGACGAGTACAACCCCCAGCAAGGTGCCTGCCTCACCCCCCCTCAGGGCCTCACATACTCGGGAACCCTTCCCCTGCCCACCCCAATGAAGTGTCTTGGGTTCAAATCCAAGCTCTTCCACTTACCGGCCACGTGGCCTTGGGCGGGCCAGCTAAGCTCTGGGAGCTCTATTTTCTCATCTGTAAAACGAAAATATTCAGATAATCGTAAGTCAACAGCGATTCATCAAGGACCTATTATGTGTCAGGTACTGCTAGAATTCTCAGGTGAGAGACAATAAGCATCATAGCATGAGCTCTGTAGCCAGAACGCCTGGGTTTGAGTCCTAACCGCCTGTGAACTGTGTGGTCTGTCCCCTTTGCCTTATCTGTGCAACATGGACCATAGCGTGTAGCTCAAGGGGTTTCTGTGGGGCTTAAATGGGTTAATGCATGTAAGTCACTTAAGACAGCACCTGGCATGTAGGGAAGGCTGTACTGCAGGTCCTCGAATGATGTCCATTTGTTCACACCGTTTCTTATAACACGGATGCGAAAACATGAATTCCCAGGCTTGGGCCACTGTCTGTGTGGTTTGCACCTTCTCCCCATGTCTTCGTGGGTCTTCTCCTGGTCCTCTGGCTCCCTCTCTTCCCAAAGCTGTGCATGTGAGGGGAATGGGCGTGTCTGCATCGTCTCTGCCTGCAATGAAAGGCCATCCTCTTCCAGGCGGGGTCCCCATTTGTACCCTGAGCTGCCTCCTGCACGCCCCGTACTGGGCATGGAGCCCGCAACCTGGGCATGTGCCCTTGACCAGAATCTACCCTGAGCTGCCTCCTGCATGCCCCTTACTGGGCATCGAGCCCGCAACCTGGGCATGTGCCCTTGACCAGAACCAAACTCGGGACTCTTCAGTCCACAGTCTGACACTCTATCTGCTGAGCCAAACCGGCTAGGGTGAGACACCATTCTTTCCATCCAGCTGTTCCCAGGGGCCCCCCTCACTAATGTCTCCTCCTCCTCCAACCTCTCCAGGCGCCAAGTTTCCCATCAAGTGGACAGCCCCGGAGGCGGCCCTGTATGGCAGATTCACCATCAAGTCAGACGTGTGGTCCTTCGGAATCCTGCTCACTGAGCTCATCAGCAAGGGCCGCGTGCCTTACCCAGGTTCCTGGGGACGGGGCAGTGGGGACGGGGTCGCGGGGAAGGATCTCCTCTGGCTGCTGCTCTGGGGGAGGGGGCCCCCTGGCTGACGGAGCCCCTCCTCTAGGCATGAACAACCGGGAAGTGCTGGATCAGGTGGAGCATGGCTACCACATGACGTGCCCCCCAGGCTGCCCGGTGTCCCTGTACGAGATCATGCTGCAGACCTGGCGCCTGGACCCAGAGGAGAGGCCTACCTTCGAGTACCTGCAGTCCTTCCTGGAGGACTACTTCACCTCCACAGAGCCCCAGTACCAGCCCGGGGACCAGACATAGCTGGTGCGTCTGCCGCCTCTCTGAGGGTGCCCGCCAGCCCTTCTCAATCCCCAGGGCTCTGGTCCCAAAGCCCCCAGGCTTAGAGTCCCAGCCTGTCAGAGCAAACAGGCTGCTCTGACACCATGGAGGGCAATCTACCCATTTTAAAGACAGACAAATTGAGGCTCAGAGATTATCCTTTACCCCATGTGGCCCAGGCACTCTTCTCCCTCCAATTTAGGACCCTCTATGCCTCTAGTCTCCTTACTCCCCACCACCCCAAAAAGGAAATGCACAGACCTTGTCCAGTTATTTATGAAACTATATCCTTCCCCTTGCCTCCCATCCCTGCATTCCTGTCCTGCCATCCCACCCTGGCCCAGGACCCCAGAATTCAACTCCATTCCATCAGTCTCTCGTGTCTGTAAGCTACAGAGAGAGGGAAACCCTTTGCCAGGTCCCTTTCCCGTTGGATGTAGCCTGTAGTCTAGGACTGGGGTCCAAGGCCCAGATTGAGGGAGAGGATTGCTGAGGGCTTACACACGCCCCCGCCCCCCCCCCCCCGCCTCCGGCATGTGTGTGTGTGTGTGTGTTGATTTTGTAAATAAGAAAAATGACAATGTGAATCCGTGCGCTATGAAGATCCCTTCCTTTGGGAGGGAGGATGGTCGGTGGGAGGTGAGTGGGGCTGCTTTGGCTGCTGGGAAGAGGGAGTACCCGTAGCCCTGAACAGCACAGGGTACACCTAGGGGTGTTTTAGGACACCCAACAGTCCTGATGCTTGTCCCCATTGAGTTTAGGACAAGTTGAGAGAGGGATACAGAAGACAGGCAGCAGGAGATCAAAATGCCACCTTCATTACTGATGTGGTTTCACTGGGTCTCGCCTGGGCAGCTCTGCACCCTAGGGGGTTGGGGAGAGGTTTGGGGGCAGTTTTGTTTGTGGTGATGACTAGGGCCTCCTGTGATGGAGTGGGCAGGGGTTGAAGGTGCTAGGCGACCTGCCAGGCACATGTGCAGTGAGGAATTGTCCCATCCCCAGTTCCCCTTTGAGACACGCTGGCTGCTGAGGTGCACCCATGTGGAAATAAGGGGAAATGGAAGTAAGGACTTCCACCTCTCCCGTCAGGAAAGTGCTGACTCCCTGACTTACTAAGAGGGTGGACGGGGCAAGAGGCTGGGAGCCTGGAATCACTGCTGTGACCGGCAAACAGTTACAGAGCATCCAGCGTGTGAAGGCCCTTTGCCAGGCAGGATTTCAGGAATACCAACGCGAGCAAGACCAGTCCTTGTCCTGGAGAGAAATAATCATGATCACTCACGTATTAAGCGTCTGCTGAATGCCAGATGTGTTTACATCCACTTCGTCTAGTCCCGGGTCTGGTTCTATGATGAGGACACGGAGGTCATGGGTCGCACAGCTGTATGTGTCAGAGCCGGGATTTGAACCCCGCTCTTGCACTAAGGCCCGTGATCTTTCTACCAGACCTCGCTGCCTCTGGACTTTGGGGAATAAATCATATCGGCCCCAGGTGGATGTTGGGAAGGTCCGTCTCCCTCTGGATGTTGGTAGAAAGGTTTCCTGGAAACCCAAGTTGAATGGCCTAAAGCAAAGGGGACCAGGTGGCCCACGCAGATGGAGCGTTCCCTGTGTTCCGCCCTGTGCGAGGGGCAGCTGGATGGGCGCCATCACAGGGAGAGAGGCCACGTGACGGCTGAGCGAGGGGGACCGCAGAAGTGGGAGCCGTGGCTCTGCACACCCAAACTCTCAGGTGCCTGGGCTTCCTGAGGCCTTTTCAACCACCAAACTCACAAGAGCCTGGCGTATAGGCCAGAGTCCCCATGTTTCCGTCTGCCTTGGAGTAAGCAGGTAAGAGCACAGCTCAAGAGCTATACTGCCGGGGGAGTCTTGCCTCCACCACTGGCCAGCTGTGTGATTTTCGTAAGTTATTAACCTCTCCAAACCTCCGTTTCCTCATCTGCGAAATGGCTATACAATGCTCAACACATGCTAGCTCTCTTTGTTATACCTAAAAAAAAAAAAAAAATTATAAATATATATCATTGATTTTTTACAGAGAGGAAGAGAGAGGGATAAAGAGCTAGAAACATTGATCAGCTGCCTCCTGCACACCCCCTTTTGGGGATGTGCCCACAACCAAGGTACATGCCCTTGACCGGAATCGAACCTGGGACCTTTCAGTCCGAAGGGCGATGCTCTATCCACTGAGCCAAACCGGTTTTGGCTCTTTGTTATACTTTTTGCTAATTGCTTACTATATGCTAGGTAGCCCGCTCAGTGCATGCCACCATGTAACCCGCACAGAGCCCTGTGAGCGGAAGGCTGTCATACCTTCGCTTCCTTAATCGGGAAACGGAGGTACAGTGAAGTCAGTAGGTTACAGGACATAAGTGGCAGAGCAGGGGCTTGAACCAGTGTTCTGAGTCTCTATAGTCTTTTCCTGGGACCAAGATATTTCTGTCTGACGGACGGGACTCTGCCTGGTCCCAGGAGGCCCACTGAGCTTAAATGAAGGCCCAGCAGGGCAGTGAGCCACAGAGAGCTCACCAGGCTCTCGCTGCTCAGCAGAGACCAGAGCCTCCCCAGCCTGGAATCCGTGTGTCTCTTGGTTCCCTGCCCCTCCCTCCGGTGCAGCTGAACAAACCCTCCCATGCACCCCCTTTTCTGTGCAGCCTTCTGTTCCCTCCAGATAGAGCACAATGCAATTGATTAGGCCTCTGTTTTCTCCATTTCAATCACACCCTCGCCCTGCCTCCCCGAGATTACAGGCTGGCGGGTCACCTTGATTGCAGTTCCCACCGTTCGCAAAACCCTTCAGTCGTTTACGAAACCATCTCTCGCCTCATTCACTCCCCCACCTGGCTCTTCTCCTCCTGAAGCGTGGATTTTACTGGCTTAAGACTCAGAGGGCAGTTTTATTTCCAAGCTCATGGCGGGGGAGAAGGGCACAGAATTGACTAATGCTGGCGTTTCACATGCATCATCTAATACGATCCTCCCGAGGCAGAGCACGAGCGTGATCATTCCCACTTTATAAAAGAGGAAACAAAGACGCTGAGAGGCTCCGACACCTGCCCAAGGTCATGCAGCCGGATGGCAGGGTCAGGATTTGAACCCTGCATCCCACTGGGTCCCATGCCTTCATTTGATGGAGCTGCATGGGCGAGTATACTAACCCAGCGTCAGGCCCTGGGAGGGCATGGTGCAGATAGAGGTCTGGGGTGGCTCATATAGGCTGTTGGTTGTTTTTGTAAAAGAACCAAGTCATGTATTGATTTTTGCGCGCACGCGCACACACACACACACACACACACACACACACACACTGATCTCTCTTGTAGGCTGGTCCTGCCCAGGCGGCAGACTGGTAAACAGTTACCACACTTGGGGTCAAGGTCAGCCTGGAGGCCGAGGGAGACCGTTCGGAGGATGTAAAGGAAAGTGCCTGCTGAAGCAGCCAGAGGGTGAGACCGCCTCCCACCCAGGGGAGAGCACATGGAAAGGCCCAGAGCTATGGCAGAACAAGGCAAGCCAGGCGAGCGCAACTAATTCCGTACGAGGGAGCAGAGGGAGCAGACGAAGCGTGGGGGGAGGTCAAAAGGTCAGAGGCAAGAGGTGGTAGGGTGGAACCCTGGCCAGGGGTCAGTTGGTGGGAACATCCTCCCATACACCAAAAGGTTGAAGGTTCGAGATTCCTGGTCAGGGCACATACCTAGGTTGTGGGTTTCATCCCCAGTTGAGGTGCATGCAGGAGGCAACCGATGGATTTTTTTCTCTCTCACATCTGTTTTTCTTCCTCTCCCTCCTCTCTGTAAAAGTCAACAAAAACATATCCTCAAGTGAGGTTTCAAAAAGAAAAAAAAGCAAAAAAAAAAAAAAAAAAAAAAAGCAGGAGTGTTGGAAAGCCAAGGGGTATGGCCCCTGAGCTATGGGGAAGAGTAGGAGTCAGAGCGATCTATGGGGCCTAGGACCTACTGGGGAGCGGCTCTAGCGTGGACCCCACTGTTCTAGTGCTGAGCTGGGTGACCCCCTATCTACTTCAGCTCTCTCCCAGGTACAGTGTCAAAGCCGCCCTTTCACCCATCTCTCTCTGTCTCTGTCTCTCTCTGTCTCTGTCTCTCTGTCTCTCTCTCTGTCTTTCTCTCTGTCTCTGTCTCTCTCTGTCTCTGTCTCTCTCTGTCTCTGTCTCTCTCTGTTTCTGTCTCTCTCTGTCTCTCTGTCTCTCTCTCTGTCTCTCTCTCTGTCTCTCTCTCTGTCTCTCTCTCTCTCTCTCTCACACACACACACACACACACACACACACACACACACACACAGCATGGTCTTGCAGAGGTGTCCATAGGCCCTCTAGTGGTCACTCTGAGTACTATATTTAACACTGCAGAAACTTTCCTCTGGGATGGGACTAGGTCCCTTCAGAACCTTCCAGTCCCATCTTAAGGGAGATACTGCACAGTGCCTGCTCTCAGAACTCACAGGATGGTGATGAGGGCGACGGGGACAGACACAGGCAGAGAACAGGGAGGACAGGGAAAGGTACTAACTCAGCTGGTCATGGGGAGTCTGGAAGGCTTCTCGGTGGAGATGCGGTTCACCAGAGACTTGCAAAAGGAGTGAAGGTTTGCTTGATAAAGAAACAAAAGCCCAGCTGGCATAGTTCAGTGGCTGGGCATCAACCAATGAACCAGGAAGTCACGGTTCGGTTCAATTCCCAGTCAGGGGTCAGGGGTCAGGGCGTATGCCCAGGTTGCAGGCTTGATCCCCAGTGTGGGGTGTGCAGGAGGCAGCCTATCCATGATTCTCTCTCATCCTTGATGTTTCTATCTCTCTCTCCCACTCCCTTTCTCTCTGTAACCAATAAAAAATATTTTTTTAAAAAGAAACAAAAGAAAGGCATTTCAGGCTTCACTGGGACCATACAGGATGTTACAATTCGGTAGGTGTGACTGGAGTGAAAATTTTGAGGGGGTCAGTGGCTAAAGATGGAGATGGTGAGGTAG